TATATATATATATATATATATATGTATATATATATATATATGTATATATATATATATATATATATATATATATATATATATATATATATATATATATATATATATATATATATATATATATATATATATATATATGAAATGAAATAAATATATAAATAGAAAAAAAAATGTAATAAAATACTCTTTGCCTCCATTTCTGTAATTTTGCATGCATTTATGTCCAAGCAAATAATCTAAACATTTTCTAATTAAATCATTTGTCCACAGATTTCATACATCTAGTAAGTGTGACATGCTTTACAGAACAGTACTTGTATACAAGTATATAAAAATTTTTAGTCAACTGGATAATTTCCCAAAGTAAACTGCCCCTAATGCAAAGTCTGCAGCATATTCACTCATAATGCAGAGCCTACTGCATTCACTATATAACATTCATCTCTCTCAACCTTCACACCAATCCTCTTTGAAGTACACAATGTTATTCTTGCCATGTCGACATGGAAATAATGCTTTGCTTCCTTTCCCATCTTGGGTGTCACTGCAGACACACAGTATGGATTGTCAGTGATAGAAACAGACCATTTTCTATAGCTATAACAATTTACAAAGAGTTTCTTTTCTGTGTTAGAAATATCATGTAGATATCACTAACACCTAAAAAGGTTTACATTGTTCAATTATTTTGGGCCTGATAAAAAAAAAAGGAAATAAACCCAACTGTATACCCTCAGAATGCAACTAAAAAGGATTTACATACCATATATCCTACTAAAGCCCAATGTGAAATGACTCATAAATACATTTAAGCTTTTAGTATAACATACAGAAAGAGAGAAAGAAAAAAAAAAAAAAAAAAAAAATAAATAAATGAGACTTTTCAAAGCTGTTCAAAACAAATTGTTCTAGAGGTCAAGAAATTTGCTCACCTGAGTCCAGCATTGTACGCGAGCAGCACTAGGGTTCCAGTCACGAAAGTCTGAGTGTTCATGAAGTCTCGGGAGTGTCAGATACAGGCAGAGTTGAGAATATGCCTCCTTGTTAGGTGCATATTTCTCCAACTCATTCAGGACCTGTTAAAATTCCAAAGGATCAAGATAAATAATAGTCAAAAAATCAGTTATGAAGAAAACAGTAAATAATAATATTTTCATGACAAGAGAGTTCAACAGAAAATGTATTAATTTCAAATCCATTAAAACAAAGAGCCTCAATATTCTTTAGTGTATTTTGTTATATGTAAAATGACATTCAAAATTGTCCGTTTCTAGCTAAATGATAACTTACAAAGAAAAGGGGCAGCAATAAAGTAATACTAGTTACTTAATTCCTTTAAGAATATTATTGTAAGGTAGACTTCATCTTTACACACTCTTATTGTTATTTTCAGACAAACCCAGGCACTAATCTTCAAGAATGTAGCAACACTTAATAAAATAATAATTTTGTGGAGCCAGACACACAAAAAGACAATAAGAAAAAGAACAGAAAAAAAACCAGTCCACATTGCCTGCATTTTTGCTATTAGCAGATAAATGGGTTAAGATAATTAGCATATCTAAAATGCAGGCTAAAATCTGATATACATATAATCTAAAAGCTTAGTGTTCCAGAAACATGATAAATTTATTTAATATCAACAATACTGCTAATCAACATGAACTAATAATGCCTATCTATAAGATCATACACTATAGAATGCATGAATGATTACACTGTCTTAACATACAAACATAAATCTTTGTCAATTTTTTTTTCAACCTCAAAAGACCACAAATTCTTACCTTGACTAGTTCATCAACAGCACCTTCCTTGCTGGGATTGGGAGCTTCTGCTTTGATACATAACAACTCAAAATACTTGTACTTCAAAATAATGAAGTGAAATTTCTTTGTATCAAAAGCATCTATTGCCTGAAGGAAGGAAAAAAAACAGACCTTTGTAATCATAAAAGTAAAATGCAAAATCTAAATATCAATTATTTTCACATAATATTTTAACTGTAGGAATGTAAATACTGAATAATCAAAGGCTTTCTACAAAATGATAGAAATGGTATTAAGTGCACCTGAATAAATGCACAATTAGGAAAATCATAGAGGAAAGAAAACCTGTGTTAATGACTCATATACATATATAATACTCAGCAGACAACTTACTTCAAGTGGTTGCACAAATTCAAGAACATCCTCCCACTGCCCATCGAGAATCAGTTGACGAAGAAAGAGAGCATCGTCCGAATGGTTGCCATTAATAATGCCCGTTTCTCTTTCTACATTGAGCTGTGATATATGAAGGTACCTATTTTGGAGGAACTCTAAGGCCAGTCGCACCACGTCCTCCTCCCGAAGAGACAGGTGAGCACTGGGCATTTTGGCGAAGCCTGGAACACACAAGGAAGAATGAGCCTGGATATACTCAATATCTGATCATCTACTTATCCAAAACATAAACTAGTAGCTTTTGTGATTAATGGTATGTAAACAAACCTGGAGTCTCTGCTTCACTCATTCATATATATGGAATAACAATAACAATTACAATAACAAAAAGACCCATTAGAATCAGACTTCCACCCACTCACACTGGATGACCTCTCTTTACATCACTGTGATCCAGGCCAAGTGCTGGATTACAAGCCTCCTTCCCTTAAAATATGTATATGCATGCAAGACCTGGAAAAGGAGCCCCATTGTGAGTGGGTTAAAGTCTGTAGTGTGCTCTCCCTCATTCCAATACAATTTGATGTGCACTGGATTATAAATATAAACTTGTCAAGTCAGGATATGACTGCAAAAGAGGTATAAATTAGGCTTACAGACAAAAATCTCAAGGGAAGCATTGGAACTGGGTAGCTCTCACTCCCATACACAATATTGCCAATCCAATTCAGGAACTTTCATGATGTGTCAAATAGCAGTTGGCCTTTGTACTTCAGCAACTGCTCTGTTGAATCAACTCATTCAACATAATGGGATGCCTCTCCCTGCCAGAGGGTGTATGAAACCTCTCCACTAGAATAAATGTCAAACCCCAAATTTCAGCAACGAGTTATCACAGTCATGAATGATGAATATAACATGCAAAAAGATGGCGAAAAAAAAAGTACAATCATTACAGTGCAGTTCAGTCTAATACTCTTCAAATGATGCACTCTCCCCTGCAATGAAACTACAATTCTTTTCTTACTAATAGCAAAACATCTATCTACGTACACAATATTCTGGGTATCTAATAGGCATATGTATATTTGTGGCAGAACTGAACCACCAACCACCAGTCATAAGAAACACAACCCACCACTGCCTTGCTATTTTAAGCCAAGCCCTATACTGTAGCTGAGAGTCCCTTTAATAATAACTGCCAACTCAAATTGCAATTTTCTCTATTGCTACTCAAATACTTTTTTGATAAAGATAAAGAGATTTTGTTAAGTGTTTTACCATGAAGTTATGTCTAAGAGAGTGTCTCTTGTAGGCTTTCCCTCACAAATCCGTCAAGTGTGATCAATTGAGGTCAGAATATATTCTTTACCACCTTCACTAAACAAGCTGCTGCTTCTCGACCAAATCACAAAGAAATCAACCTAACATAACATCGTTCAAGTCCTTTATAATGAAATGCAGTTCATAACGCTTTCAGTATGTAGTTTAGGAGTTATAACATGTACAAGCTGGGTACAAAGACAATGAGTATATCTGGCTGAGGCAGTTGCACAAGATGGATAGGGGATAATTTTGCAATGCTTAAAACTTTGTCCAACATTACACACACACACACACACACACACACACACACACACACACACACACACACACACACACACACACACACACACACACACACACACACACACACACACACATATATATAATAACAATAAGACCATTTGACTTTTGTTAACTGCAACACTGCAGATTCTGATTCTCTGCAGTCTACTTGCAAAACCTAACAACAAATAATACTCTACATGCTATTATGTATTATGCAACTGCAAATGGCTGATTTTGAAATCTGTTAATTCTAAGACTCATTTACATTGCAGTAAACATTTCCTTGCATGATAATTTTACCACCTTTTATCTTATTAAACCCCATCCTAGACTCCTTGACAAATATTGACTCTGGAACAATGAATCTTGAGAGAATTCTTGAACTGGATCAATATTTGGCAGTGAAGATTACAACGAAAGATGGAGCAAATGGTTCGAGTCAGATTTCTTTTATATGCTATGGCCTCTTTTCCACGATGAATTTCAAACATGAATCCTAGCAATGTAACATGATTTCTAATCCTTTGTTCGGCTTCATTTTCAATATTCCTTATCAGTTTCCCCTTAAATTTAGATCATGCTACATATACTCCACAAACTATCTACAAGGCTGCTAAAAGAACATATGTGACATACAAAAAGACAAACTTAATAATAAATCTACAATTCTACCACTAACCTCTCTACCTTCAGACACTGCGGGACCAAAAAGCATAAAGCAAGTGTGATATACTTTACAAGGTAGAGCTTTTGGACCTTCTAAGCAGTTTATTAGCAGATAAGGATTTAGATGATAAAGCAAATCTAATCAAGTCAGTTACAAACCAAAGAATACAGTTACGTTACCATATATATGTATACATGTATAATATATTAATATAAATATGGATACAGATGGATTGATAGACAAATATATACATACATATATCCCCCCCCCCCCTCCAAACACACACACATATATATATCTATAAATCATGAAGCACTAAAAGCAATAATATATATTTTTTTTAATTAAAGATGATGATAATGATGATGTGAATAACATGAAAATAATAATAACAGCAATGTTTATGCTACTGATAGTGATAATGATAGTAAGCAACAGTAATAGTGATTAGTGATCAATGATAATGATAAAAGAGATAATGATGATAATAATAGTAAATATAATAATAATGATGACGATTATAACAGTAATAATAACAATAACAACGATGGTGATGATGATGACACCAACACAAATAACAATAATAACAATAATAATAATAATAAAAATAATAATAACAGCAATAATAACAATAATAATTAAAAAATAATAGTAATAATAAGAAAATAATAAATAAATAATAATAATAATAATAAATAAATAATAGTAATAATAATAATAATAATATTATTATTATTATTAATACCAATAACAATGACAACAACAACAAAAACAATAACAATAACAATAACAAAAATAATAATAGCAGTAATAATAATAATAATAATAATAATAATAATAACAATAATAATAATAATATTATTATTATCATTAATAGTACCAATAACAATGACAACAACAAAAACAATAATAATAACAATAACAAAAATAATAATAATAGCAATAATAATAATAACAATAACAATAATAATAATAACAATAATAATAATAACAACAACAATAACAATAACATCTTCATAAACAACTACAATAATAAAAATAATAACAACAATACTGATCATGATGATGGTGATGATGATGATGAATAACTGCAATGATAATGTTACTACTACTAATAACAGTATCTGTAATTGTGAAAATATTAATGATGATAACAAAAATACCTATGATGAAAAAAAAAGTTATAATAATTATAATCATAATAATCAATAATAATAATAATGACAATAATAACATAAAATATAATCATCATCACTATTATCATCATAACAATAATAACAGTAATAGTAATAGTAATAGTAATAATAATAATAATAATAATAATAATAATAGTAATAGTAATAACATTATCAATCATCATGATGATCATCATTATTATCATAAAAATAATAACAAGAACAATCACCATCATCATCATCATCAAAATAGCATCAACAATATATAAGAAAATAATAAAATAATAATGATAACAATAACAACAATACTAACAATAATATTAACAATATTAATAATAATAATAATAATAATAATAATAATAATAATAATATATCAATAATAATGATAATAATATCAATAATAATAATAATATAAAAATTAATAGTATAAACAACAATAATATCAATAATAATAATATCATTAACAATAATAGCAATAATAATAATAATAATAATAATAATAATAATAATAATAATAATAATGAATAATAACAATAATAACAACAAACATAATTACAATAGCAATAATATTTATGATAATAAAAATAATAACAATAATAAAAAAGGAAAAAATATAAATAATAATACCTAAAACAATAATAAAAATTATAATAATGACGATAATAATAATTATAACAATAACAATAACAACAACAAAAACAAAACAAAAATAATAGTAATAATAATAATAATAATAATTATTATTATTATTATTATTATTATCATTATTATAAAGAAAATAATAATAACAAAATAATAATAATAATATAATAATAATAATAATAATAATAATATCAATAACAACAATAATGATAACAATAATAATATTGATATAAATAACAACAACAATAATAATAACAATAATAATAATGATAAAAAAAAAAATAATAAATAATAATAATAATAATAATAATAATAATAATAATAAAAATTATTATTATAATAATAACAACAACAACATTAACTGGAAAAATAGAAAAATATGATATAACTTATATCATAATGAAAATATACATATTAGGAGAAACTCTTGTGCATAATATTGTACAACTCCTTCTTCAACTTTGCACAACATTATGTTATTGTCTACTATAAACAGCATGCACAGAAAAATACATCACATTTAAAACCAATTTAGACTTGAAAAATAGAAGCTGCAGTCCCTTTACACCAGCCAACCACCTGCCTTACTAATAAGTACAGTTATCATCATTTTCTGTTAGTACAAAATTAGTATAATACATCCAGACCTTACACCTCACCGAGTCGAGGAAAATATCTCACTGTGATGCGCTTTTGGCCAAAGTTTCCTTATCTAAGTAACCCGTTCTCTGGTATATATGCCTTTTCAGAATTGTAATATCCCAGTTAAATATGATATCACATATTGTCTGATCCAATTCACTCGAGTCATTCAGTGTACTGATCTTTTCTCCCAATCCCCAGCCACTGTCTCCAGGCTGAATATCTTTCCTATTCAACCCAAGTTCAAGCATGAAGCATTATCTCCAGATCACAGACACTTCTGTATCTTGAGAAAGAGAGAAAAAAATAACAGGGAGTCAAGAAATCCACAGGAATTTCCCTCACTTCCTCACACCTGGCTGCTGCCTCTGCCACACCCCTTCCTCTCCACACGCCTCTCTTGTCACTCACCAACTCGCACTCTGCACGCTTTTTACCGCTGCCTCCCCCTGATCCTTCCGCGAACACGTGCCCCCGGGCCTGTCCACCTGCAGGAGGCTCCCTCTCTCGCACACCTGTCACTCTGGCCTCGCCGCCGCCCTCGCCCTCGCCTGCCGCAGGACCTCCTCGCGCCCGCAGCCACCTGGCAATGCCTGGATGCTCGGCTTCCGGACACCCGCCATATGCTCACCTCGTGCTAATTACACACACCTCGGGAGTAGGTAGGCTGTTGCGGTGGCCTGAGTCAACCACTTAAACCCTTCATGCACAAACACTGAGCCTACGCCACCCTCGGCCCCTCCTTATGCCGCCCCGCCCGCGACGCCTAGGCCTACGCGGCTCCCTCTGGGCCTTGCCACGGGCGCCTTGCCATGCACAGAATCATGCGCGTCGTCGCTGGCCATACCTGTCTGCGTTACATTAAATTAAGAAGGTAATTCGCACATCTCGAGCGACGTTCAGTGTCAAGGATCTGCGAGGAGATCCCACGTGAGGGGTTGCCGCCTACTGTTTTGTTCGCGAATTTATTTTGATTGGAGGAAATTGCGAGACCTTTAAGGAATTGAGGGCTGCTTAAGCTCTCGCTCGCTGTTCCGGCCGCAGGCAACACGCCAGATCATGACTGCCCGGAGCTGTTGTTGTTCAATATATCCACATCAATTACTGAAGAAGAAACTCGCAAGATGTGCTTCCAAAACAGAGAATTCGGGGGTTTTCATTGGTCGGCGCCGCCGCGACGGCCCCGCTCCGCCAATCACCTCGGCCCGATACCAATCATGGCTCAGCATTATTAAATATATCCATTAATACTTAACTGCTTATTTAGCAGGTTGAATATTAGAATTAATGCCGTGAAAACTCCGAAGAAAGGGGAAAAACAAATCTTTTACCTCTAATATCGATATTTTGCGCATCCAGTTCTTCATTTCTAGCGATTGCAAATAAGCAAATTCATTCGGGCATCAATTTCACAAACACACCTTCTATAAATCCCCACTTTAAATAAAATATACCGCAAAAATATAGCTATCCCTCTACAAGCAAATTAATCCACATATCCGCCGTCCGTCCTCCGGAATCGCAGTCGCCTCGCCTCGCCAAGTCGCCATCGGTCGTCTGTCGGTCGCCCAGCTTTCTACGATCCACAATGTCTGGCGTTATCGGGAAAATCTACCAGAATATCTTCCGGCGGACGTCCTCCTTCGTCTTCGCCGCCGTGTGTGGAGCCTTCATGTTCGAGCGAGGCTTTGAGCTGGTGTCCGATGGGATCTTCGAGACAGTTAACCAAGGGGTGAGATTTCCGAGTCAGCTGATGGCCAGACGGGACCCGATGATGCAACCTTTTTTGAGTCGAGAATATTAGCACCTAGGAGTTTTCTTGGCTTAGATGCCTAATATATAATTGATTGCATCACGCCAGAGTACCTGGTTTATGGTAGTTTTCCCTTTTAAATGCCCAACATATCAGTGACCTATTAATAGGGAATGGGGACGGTCTTTACCCCAGAGGAGCCGGTGCAAAAACGTTGCCTTAGGAGCGACCTCAGAGTCGGGATTCCAAAGGCGGTTTGCATATCCTGGTGACTAGAAAGGGATGCTCATCATTTCTTTCGGTTATCTCCCATGCTTTCACTAATCTTTGAAGTTGGAATCTGTATGTTAACTATAGAGGCCCAGGTAATGGTATGCTGCACCTTTGCTTGTATTCATATATTTGGCTGCTGCTTTGCAGTTATACTCACATTAATTGGTAGTATTTGTTGTATTGCACACCCATTTAACCTTATTATTTCTTGTTTCAATTATTCACAGCATAACATATCAAATGAATTTTTTTTTTTTTTTTTCTATATTTATGTTGGTGCCATTCATATGTGCAGACTATTTCTTGGGCTGACAACTGCAATGCTTCATTCTTTACAAGAATATCATCGTTGATTTGCCCAAGCTTAGTACATCCTTACCATAAATATTAACCACCTTCCTAATCTCAGGTTTTGCCCACAAACTCCCAACCAACTGATGTATTTCCCTATTGGGGGCTCGGCCTATGGACCCCCACCCAATCGCTGTGGACTTACTGTCCATGCAGTATTTGTCACAACCTGTTTTCTTAATCTCTGACATTATTCTTTGCCTCCAAAAAGTATTTTGTGTTTCATTGAATGTAGTTTTCCCTTTTTAATATGTCATTAGGTTTTTCATAACTTTGTACAGTCATAAATGTGAGTTGCACAATTTTCTTAAAATGAAATTGCAAAGGAATTACCATTGATGAAAAGGGTCATAAGTAATTTTTTACTGTATGGATGCACTCACCAGAGAATAGAGCCCCAATTCCACATCACAAACTTTATTCAACTATCTAAATTGCTTTGTCTGGGCGTGCCCTTCAGGAACTGCCTGAGGGGAGGGTTGATGAAAGGCTCTGCCCCCTAATACCCTCCCCCCCCCTCAGAAACCATTTTCTTTACTTTGGTATGCACGACAGGATAGAGCTAAAACTTGGGAGGACCGAGTGGGCTTAGGCAGTGAGAGCTGCCGTTAGTGTCTGTAGATTAATTCTTGTACCAATGACTCAAACTTTTTGTCCTCTACGTGAATATCGCTTTCAATTTGCCCTGGAGGAGTGCATCAGTACTGTAAAGATTAACTATTTT